GCCAACCTTGTGGTCAGCAGTCCAGTGCTCATCCTACAGCACCACACCATTTAAAGCTTCTTGTTGTTGTTGTTAGGTGCCATCGAGTCGGTACCGACCCATAGCGACCCTATGCACAGCACAATGAAACACTGCCTGATCCTGAGCCAACCTCACTACTGTTGCCACGCTTGAGTCCATCGATGCTGCCACTTGGCCAATCCATTTCGTTGGGGGTCTTCCTCTTTTTCTCTAACCCTCCACCTTACCAAACATGATATCCTTCTCCAGCAACACCCTCCTGACAATATGTCCAAAGTATGAGACACGAAGTTTGGCCATCTTGGCCTCTAAGGAGCACTCTGGCTGCAATTCTTACAAAACGGATCTATTGGTTCTTTTGGGATAGCAAAATTGACCAATCTCCAGGTTAGGGTTTCATACACCTTATTTACATGGTCCCACCCCACAAGAATGCCGTGTACCTTTACATGATTAGAAAGTAAGCCAAACACCTTGGTGGGCCACAGTAAGCCCCTCACATTTGCATAGTCTAGCCCAGTCATTAGGACTCTTGGTGTGGCACTGTAGGATCAGCACTGGTCTGCAAACCACAAGGTCAGCGGTTGAAACCCACCAGCTACTCCTTGGAAACCCTATACAGGGTTGCTATGAGTCGAAACAGAGTGGATAGCACTTAACAACAACAACCCTGTCATTAAGTGGGAGTTACAAACACTATGGTTAGAAGGGCCATATGAAGCACCACAGTGGAAGAGGTAGAAATCAAATAGTTGTTAGTTAAGGAGTGAATCCAGGAGCTCTAGCATCTCAGTAGTTACCCATCAGAAGATCAGTACTTCAAACCCACCAGTTGTTCTGTGAATGTAAGATATGGCAGTTTACTCCCATAAAGATTTACAGTCTTGCAAACCTTACAGGGTCACTATGAGTCACTACTGACTTGACAACAACAGGGAAGAAGTGAAAAAGGAGCCCTGGTGGCATAATAGTTCAGTTCTTGGCTGCTAACCAAAAGATGGGTGGTTCAAACCTTCCCACCACTCCATGGAAGAATGATGTGGCAATCTGCTTCCGTAAAGATTACAGTCGTGTTGGCAATCCTATGGGTCAGTTCTGCCTTACAGGGTCACTATGAGTCAGAATTGGTTCAGTGGTAATGGGTTTAGGTAGATCTCAATGGCAGTGAGAACATGGGGGCAGAAAATCAACGCTCCTCCTAAGGTTGGAGGTGAAACGAAAGTATTAGGGCAATGGCTTGAGAGGGAGGCATTGTCCACAAAGGATATTGTTCCCACTATAGTCTGGCAAAAGAACAAACAAATCTGTGTTGGAAGAAATACAGCCAGAACGTTTCTTAGAAGTCAGGCTAGACAGACTTCAACTCTCATACTTCAGACTTGTTATCATGAGGGACCAGTCCCTGGAGAAGGACATCATGCTTGATCAGAAAAGGGTCAGTGAAAAAGTAGAAGATCCCCAACAAGACAGAATGGCACAGCGGCAGCAACATGGTTTCAAACGTAACAATTGTAAGAATGGTGCAGGATTGGGCAGTGTTTCGTTCTGTTGTGCATAGGGTCACTGTGAGTTGGAACCTGCTCAGTAGCATCTAATAACAACAAAATCTTAGCCTAAGGAGCCTTGATGGGTTACACATTGGGCTGCTAACTGCAAGGTCAGCAGTTTGAATCCACCAACAGCTCCTTGGGAGAAAGATGAGACTTTCTGCACCCATAAAGATTTATAGCCTTGGAAACCCTACACAGGGTGGTTATGAATCAGAATAAGTTGTACAGTTCACAACTCCCACCACCACAGCCGTAGCCTAGCATTTTGTATCTAACCCTAGTGGCCAATGTTTAAGCAGTTCAGCTTACTACCTCATCAAAAGGTTGCCAGTTAGAACCCAACCAACAGATCTCAGGAGAAAAACCTGGGGATCTTCTCCCATAAAGATTATAGTCTAGAAGACACTATGGGGCAACTAAAAGCAAAGATGGAAAGGTAAAGTCAAGGGACACCAGATTATTGGAAGCAAAACATTCAGAATTAATGAGAATATGAAAACATAATGAAAGATGTAACCAATATCTCTGAACAATTTATGTGGTAGTGGTTGGTGATTGTGTGCCATTGAGTCTTTTCTGATTCATAGCAACCCTGTGTAGGGTTTCTGAGGCTGTAAATCTTTACAGGAGCATAAAGCCTCATCTTTCTCCTGCAGACTGACTGATAGATTCCAACTGCTGAGTTTATGGTTAGCAATCCAACTTGTAATCTGATTTTCTATGTAAACTTATACCCAAAACACAGTAAAATATTATTTAAAAGCACACACACACATTTATCCTTGGCAGTTCTGGAGGACAGAATTCCAAAACATTATAAGAGGGAAGCAAGAGGGTCAGAGACAGAGGGAAAGAAACTGGAAGTTGCCATGCGACTGGCTTTGGGAATGCAGAGGGGCCTCAAGCCAGGAGGCCTCAAGAAGCTAGGAAACGCAAGGAAACATGATGCTATCTGGCTACCATGACTGAGCATTTTGATCAAAACTCCAACAGATAGAATCTGATCAAAAAGAGAAAAAGTGTGCAACAGAACTCTAACCTCATATTAAAACCAGACTTATTGGATCCAATGGGACTAGGAGAAGCCTTGAATCTACCCATTGCTATAGAGTATATTTGATTTCTACTCCTAACAATTCTATAGAATGGAGTAAAACTACCCCAAAAGGTTTCCAAGGCTGGTGGATTCAAACCTTCAAATCTTTTAGTTAGCATCTGAGCACTTAACCACTGTAGCTATGGTGCTCCATCCTAAATCTAATGCCCAGAAATAACCTTTAAACCTTGAACCAAAACGATTTTATAAAACCACTGTTAAACTATACTTTTAGCTCAATTAATAAAGAATGTTTGCCTTGAGCATAGTGCTCTTATAAAGAATTGTCTTTATAAGCCTAATTTAACAGCAGTTCACATAGCACAGATGAGCACTTTAAAGGGTAAAGAACCTGAATTAATGGTAATGAAACGATATGGGTAGAGATAGTGATACTGAACTGTTCATGTAAAATTGTGATTGGATGCATGTTTTTCTGTGCATATTGTCACCAAGAAAATTTTTTTTTTTTTTAATTTTAAGGCAAGGTTGTCCCTTAGAGCATAGAGAAGGACCACAGCCCTGCTAGCACCTAGGTTTTAGCCACAATTGGACTTTCCTCCAGAACTATAAGGGAAAAAAATTGTGCTGTTTTAAGCAAAAAAAACAAACAACTCTATGGGGCAATGTATTCTGTCACATGGGACCACTATGAATCGAAATAGTCTCGATGGCACCTAACAACAACAAACACTCAATATCTATGAAGTGCAATAATATATCATTTATAGATCAGCTGTCCTGTGGGAACAGTCCATGTTCTCCAAATAAAACAGACCAGTCATCATGATTCATGATAGGTGGGGAGAAGGACTGAAGAAAATAAAGATATTTCTTATTTTAAATTACAACATAAGGTTATGTTTTGAGTTAATTTGTAACAATAATCACTTTTTTCACCCCATCCTCTTCCCCACACATGGTTTTTAAAGATTATAGAAAAAAAAACCCACATGGTCTGCTGATCCGATACCCTGAGGTCAGAATTGCATAGTTCAAAAGAGAAAGGTACCAAAATACCAGTTTGCTTTAATGGCATATTTAATTCTATTAGGTTACATACAAAATACAGGAAACTTAAAGAATTTCATGACATAAATGCTTACAACACTAAATGAAAAAAGCAGGATACCATGTCGCATATACAGTATAATCTCCATTTGGGGGAGGAAAAAAAATATATTTTATATTACACATATGTAGGAAATAAATACTAGAAAAAATAAACTAAAATTTTAACAGTATCTATATCCTTTGTGGGAACCGAGGTGGTTTTGTAGGATAAGCACTGGACTTGGAACCACAAGGTCTGTAGTTCTAGCCTACCAGGTGCTCCATGGGAGAGGGATGAGGCTTTCTGCTCCCGCAAAGATTTAAAAGCCTCCGAAACCCTATACAGAGTAGCTATCAGTCATAATGGACTCAAGAACACTGTATCTTTTGGTGGTAATTTTTTTCTTCTTCTACTTTTTTATATTTTCCGAATTTTCTACAATTGAACAATTCTCCATTAAAGTCATGGAATTTCCATCTAAGCACTTCCTAACAATTATGGCCTTTCCCTTTGGTCTAAAAACAATAGTAATAATAATAATTCACCAAGCTTAGAATCTCTCTTTCATCTTACTTGGACTTCCTTGGGGTCTCTGTGCCTCCTGAGTTCTAAAGGTGAGTTTTGAGCAACACCGTGGAGAATGGAATGGAGAATCCAATTTGTTTTAGAGAACAACGCCACTACCAGTAGCAGGGAGAAAACAGTTGTAAAGACTTAGGGCTTGGCTCTGTCACTTACCAGCTGTGGAGCCTTAGATAAGTCAGTTTATATCTCTTCCCACCAGTCGTCTCGGTTTTCTCATTTTTAATATGGGGTTAATAAAATGTACACGTGGGAAAGGGGTGGGGTGGACCCTTTGGAAAGATGATAGGAACTGCCATAAGTAAAACATCTAGGACTTGGTGGCTCTCAGTCAAGCCTTCGGTGCAAGGCCCCACCCCTAAACACACTGAATCTGACTCTGAGGGGGTGGGGCCTGGGAATCTGTATTTTAGGAGCTTCCCAGGTGATTCGGATGCTCAGTCCTGTTTGAGAACCGAGGGCTCTTAGCAGCCCTCTTGTTCCCAGACCCACTTTTCAACTTCTCCCAGGTCCCAAAGGTACTTCCGTTTCCGCGACAACAGATGCCGAGGGAAGTGGGGAGAGAAGGCTGCCTCCAACGACAGCCAGACATGCCTAGGTCCCGGCTTCGCCTGGCCTCCCCTTCTCCCGGGCGCCAGCCGGTGAGTTACATAACGGGCTGCGAGGCGCGCTCTCGCGAGGTTTACACCGCCCCCTCCTCACTCCACGTCAGAGGGAACCGGGCGGAGCGGCCAACATGGCGGAACGCAGGCGACACAAGAAGCGGATCCAGGTAGCAAAGCAGAGCCCTGGGTAGTGGGCTTCAGGGCGCTCAGAAGTGAAATAAGTGGGGGGAACCCCCTTGGAGGGCAAGTGAAACCAAAGGCGAGATGGGGTGGGATTCGGCCTCGAGGCCGCAAGGCTGTAGGGTGCGTCGTTGTGAGGGGCCCCTGGGGGGGGCGGTGTTGGCGACGGCTGAGACCGAGACGGAAGTGGTGGGGCCGCGGGAGATGGAAGGACGCGCCGCGGTCTCTATCTGGACGCGGCGGCGAGGCTGTCCAGCCGACCCCTGGCTCCTGGGGCCGCGCCGACCCCGGCCTGTGTTGGGAAATAAGTCCCCTCCGGAGCGCTGACCCAGACCCTCCCCGGAATTCTCTTCCCTCTCTTCTCCACTCCGTCCTCTCTCCTTAGAGATCCTAAAATTAAGGCCACGGTAATTAGGGTAGGAGGCACAGGAGTGACCTAAAGCAGCCTGTTCTTTGTGCGTAAATAGAAAAAAGACCGTAGGAGGGGAGAGTGATCTGTTACTGGTCAGCTGCTCTTTGGGGCCCAAGCGTCGATCTGCCTGTCCATGGATGTTCGTTTGCCCTCCTTTCTCCCTAATATTGTTAACTTAATAGTCCACTTGAAGCTTGCCGGCTCTTTTCCCGGCGACACAGTGTAAATAAACACAACCTCGTTGGTGCTGCAACGAGCTGGTGGCGCCGTCACATGACAGTGTGTCAACCTCATAACCTACATAATAATCCTTCCCTCATTCCACTTGTATGTGCATTTCCTCCCTGCACTGCCAACCCCCTGTTGTCTTTGTTTCCCATCAAGAGGATTAATATGTGGAACATCGGCAGTGGATGTTTATTAGTGCCTGTCTCATCATCAGCTCGTGTGCCTAGAAGCCTTCATATGACATCATACACTGAGAGCGTGTTGTACATTGATAGTACATTTATCACAAATTGTCTGATACTCCCATTGCCCTTTTGGTCATGACTATTTCACTGCTTGGAATGACTTTCTGATGTCATCATCTATTTTGTTAACGCAGGTTTTTAAGTTTATCAGTTTGTTGACCTCACCCACAGGTGGTCTGAGCTATACATATTTAGAACGGATCCTGAAAACTTTGAAGGTACTCGAAAAATGTCAGTGATCATAAAATTTGGAATTTGGCAAATTATAAAAACTGTGGGTATGGAGGAAGTATTCTGATTTTACTATTCCGAGTCTTACTGGGAGTCCTGTTGTGGCGCTGTGGGATAATGCACTAGATCCCAAGGTCGGTTTGAACGGCAAGATCAGCAGTTCAAACTCACCAGTAGCTCCTTGGAAACTCTCTACAGGGTCTCTGTGAGTCAGAACTCACCGGATGGCACTTAACAAGAAGGAGCCCAGTTGTTGTGCTGTTAACTACCACAAGGTTAAAAGTTAGAACCCACCACCCAATCTGCAGGAGAAAGATGAGGCGTTTTACTCCCATAAAGATTCACCACCTGGGAAACCCTATATAGGGTTGTTTTGCATTAGCACATAGCAACAGCAGGCTTACTGGAAGGAGCCCAGGTGGCAGTGGTTACGTTTGGCTGCCGTTTGAAAGATCATGGTAGTTGAAACTCACCTGCCTTCTCTGGGAGATTGCAGGCTTCTGCAAAATTTACAACCTTGCAAACCATATAAGGCAGTTCTGCGACTCCACGGCACATAGCCACCACCACCACCATTCTGTCCAGTAAGGTCGCTAGGAGTCACAATCAACTGCACAGCAATTCTGGCAAGTCTTACTAGATTTAGTGCTATGCATTACAGGCTGTGCCCACGGTTTTTATTATAATTTACACTGAAGTTGTCAAATTTTTACTTTCTGTACTCTGTATTTACACATGCAGTATAATTTTATTTCTTTATAGTTTTACACATTGTTTTACAATCTCAATTAACTGTTCTTTGTTGTAAAGATAATCCTCATTGTTTGAGTAGCTGCTCTTATTTCAGTTGGAATTTTATAAATTAAACAGAAAGGTACATTAAGAGCTTGTATAGTGTTGGGCCTTCCTCCTTCGAAGTCAGGATGGCCAAACTTTGTTTCTCATACTTAGGACAGATTATCAGGAGGGACAGTCACTGCAGAAGTATATCATGTTTGGTAAAGTGGAAGGCCGGAGAAAAAGAGGAAGAGCCCCCAATGAGATGGATTGGCACAGTGGAAGCTGCAATGGGCTCAGGCGTTGTTGTGTTGTTAAGTGCCATCGACTCTGTTCCAACCCATGGCAGCCCTGAATAGGGTTTCCAAGGAGCAGCTAGTGAGCTTGAACCAACAACCTTGCAGTTCAAACGGCTTTGCTGTCTAGCGCATTAAACTAAAGTGCCACACCAGGACTCCATAATTGTGAGGTTGGCCTCGGACCGGACAGTGTTTCTTTCTGATGTGCATAGGGTCACTATGAGTTCATACCAACTTGATGACACCTAACAACAGCAACATAGTATTGGGCCAGCTTGTTCCCCAGCTCCACCAACTGTTAGCTGTGTTATTGTTGTTGGTAAGTGTCATTGGGCCAGTTCCGACTCATTGTGACCTATATAGGGTTTGCGAGGAGTCAGTGGCAGATTTAACTTTGGGCAAATTGCTCTCTGCCTCAATGTTGTTAAGTGCCACTAATGAGCCTGAACTGCCAACCTTGTGGTTCAGATCAACCTTGCAGTCCAGGGCATTAACCTGCAGCACCAGGGAGATGTAAGAAAGCATAGCCACCTCATTGGAATTTAAAAAAAAAAAAAAAGTTAATGATTTGTGCCCAAGGCTGAAGGATTTGAGATAGATTGTTGGTTTGATTTTTAAAAACACTTTGATATGCTGAAGAAAGATTAATGGCTGCCTTGTGGATTACATAAGCTATTTCTTTATTATTGTTTCTTGATATTTGAGGAATAAATGTGGAAGGATCATCAACTTGGTATACTACTAAATGAAAATATATGTGACCTTTATTTTCTCATCCTAGAAGCTCTCTACATGGCTGTGAGCCCTCATGTGGTGCTGTAGGGTAAGCACTGGACTGCTAACTGCAAGGTCAGCAGTTCAGACCCACCAACTGCTCTTGGAAACCCTATTCAGGATTGCTATAAAGTGAAACCGATTTGATGGCACACAACAACATGGAACGATGTTTGTGGAAAATTTTGGAGCACTGTTTGTGTTCTGCTGGGCTGATAAAGTTTCCCTGCTATCTCAAAAAGTACAGTGCTCCTATTAAAACTTTAATAAATTGAATGGCGTAAAGCAAATAAGCAATTGCCATTAATTTATATGGGAAACATTTTAGCATTCCTGGAGCCCACAAAATAACCTGCCAAATTATATCAAATAACACATAAAACCTAAAATAACACTAACTTATGTTAAAAATGGGAATTACACAATAAATACACAGTCTGTATAAAATAGAAATACATGTACAGTGTAGTTCCCAGGGAAGGAGCTTATTGACTGCCACTCTTAATGTTGGGCTCTAACTGACTCTTTAACAGCTCCTTGCAAAACAAATGCTTCTGAATGCTAGTTTTTTTTTTTGTTGTTGTTGTTTTTAAGTGTTAAATCTACTTTATTTTATTTATTTATTTTTTAATGTCTTATTGTGAATTATGTGATAGTTTACATGGGAGAACATTGGTTTTACAGTCATTCTATCTATCGTATATCGTATCATTGCCATGGTTACAATCCCCTCCTTGCAATCCTTCCCCCGTGCCCCCCAGGTCTTCAGCACACAGTCGCTTTCCCTCTCTGGATCTAAAGTCTCCAGCTGCTCCATCGCTCCACATCATCATCTCTGGCTCCATTTCAG